TGGATATGTAAGTGAAGGACTTTGAAATACTGTATAAATGAATGATGTGTCTGGGTTAGACAAGCCATTCTTTGATGAACTAGTATAAGGCTGTAGGTTCTATCTTGCCAAACATATTGGAAAAAGCATAAAAATAAACCCCAATAGCACACTGCAAGCTTCAAAACTCGAGAGATACACACAGCCAGCAGAAATCACTATAAAGAATCATAGGAAAAATCATTTCTAGACAAAGAGAAATACAAGGAAAGGCAAAGAGAGGCATGATTCTACAAAGACTCACTCAAGTGAGCAACTTTTAATGAGTAGTTCCAGTGTTGCCATTGAGGCTCTTTAGGTCTGTGATTAATTTTACACCTGAAGTCTTTTCAGGATTGTGGCCTACCAATCTCATGCTAGCTAAGAAAACTGGGATGAGAAGGGGAAGTCAGAGAAATATGACACAGATTTCTCCACAATCAACACTTTTATGGAAAATTAGAATGTCTCTTGTTGCACTAACTGCTATGGCTAATTACCAAGTAAATAATTTTAAAAGTCTTAAATAGAATTAAAAAAATTAGGTGTCATCAAGCAGGAACTTGATTCTGAGACAGTTTGAGGCGGCAAAATAAGATTGAAAAGAGTTTCAAGATTTTTGTAACCTAGTTCCAAAATGCTAAGATGAATTGTTAACCTACTGCTAAATTAATTTTTAAAATTATACAGCATCCTTCACCAGAGCTTTGAAACTTCCTAATTTCCAATGCCTTTTAATAGGGAAGTTAATTCTTCAGGCTTATTTTACACAGCAAAAGGCTGAAAAAACTACTACTGAGAGACAACAATGTTCCCACTGCTTGATAGGATTAGCTGGAACAATGACAGCTACTTACCAAACCTGTTTGGGCTTTTAAAGATATTTATTAGCTTAAGAAATAAACGTTTATTTAGCTATGGAAGATTTTATAACTCTCAATATAAACTCCTGGGGTCTGACTCTTTATCCTTGTGAAAAGCAAGTGCAAAGTATTTCCACTCTTATTTGACAGCACTTTGCCATAGAGAACCAGATGGTATGGGACAGGTCTTTGGCCAAGGTCAGCTGTGCTGATTCACACCAATTGAGGGCCTGGCCCCATGTTGCCTGCCTCCCCATAGTAGAGATATGAGGAAGCTAAAGCCTACACTAGACTTGATTCTGGTCTGTGCCTTCAGTACCTCACTTTGAGCAAGGCTGACAACTTTTCATGGTCAGGCCAGGCCTACACAACCAGAGAAAGTCGACTCAAGATATTCAACTCCAGCTACATGAATAGCTTAGCTGGAGTCCGTCCGTATCTTAGTTCGATATACCATGGCATCACCACTGGGGGAGGTCAAGGGGAGAAACTCTCCCGCCAACTTCCCTTACTCCTTGTGACCCAGTGGAGTACTGGAGTTGATGTGGGTGCCGTCAGCTATCAATTTAGTGGGTCCTTACTAGGGACGTAAAAGCAGTTAACCAATAAGCATCAGCTTACTGATTTCCATTACAGTTACATGCCAGCTCTTTGGGCGTGGGGCCAGCAGTCCCTGCCAGCCCTGCTCTTGGGGAGCTGGCATGTAACCAGATCTGTGTAATACTGCAGAGCCAGCAGCAAAACCGGCTCCCGGGGAGTAGACTGTCACCCGCACTGCAGGCTCTTGCAGTATAAAAAAAGTTATATTATAGAGCCCACAGTGTTAGAATTTTTACTGGTTACATGGATACCTTTTAAAATGATTTTTTACATCCGTAGGCCTTACTGGACCCACTACAAAAAACCCTTGGTAAGTGGAGACGAGCCCTTCGAGACAAACCTGACCAACTGAAATGTAAACCCAATTTTGAATAGCAGAGGAACTCACCCAAAGCAATTCTGGAAGTCTTTTTCATAACGCTTACTATCAGTGAAACGAGAGCTGGAAGACTTTGCTCTGCAGATACAGCACCCCTCTATACTCCGGTACATCTTTGGTTTATGGAAACCAAACATCTTCTCTGCAGGAGTCTGTAGAACAAGCAGAAACTGTCATTGTTATCACTTTAAGATACAGCTCAAGCATCATTTAGACTAGAGGAAGGAGCAGATTCATGTGCAGCTTTGAAAACTGATGTTACATCACAGTCCGGGATAGGCAACACCGAGTGGAATTGCTAAATTATGTACTGTCATATCGCAGTCCTCTCAGGACGGGGTGGGCAGTAATTTTCACGGGGTGGCGGGGAGAGCACTTGATGAATTTTGGTATGTGGTCACAGACCAGCTCCACCACCGCAGAAGAGGTGGGGCCTGAGACAGAAGGGGCAGAAGTACAGAACTAGATTTCCCCCAGGAAATCTGGGGCCCGAGGCTTTGAATTAAAAATACAGCAAAGGGCTCACAACTGCTGCTACTGAGTTGCCTGGCAGCCTAGGGTTGCTAGGACCACATGACCTGGAGCCCTTTTTAATAACTGCAGCAAACCAGGGCACCTCCTAGTTAAGACAGTAGAGGCAGGGCCAGGAGCCCTTTAAATTGTTGCTATTTAAATAGCCACAGCAACCCCGAGTGACTGCTAGGCAATGCTGTAACAGCAGGGCCGGGAGCTGTGAGCCCTTTAAAGGGTTTGCAACTCCAGCCCCTGCTGGGATAGCATCAAGACTGGGAACTGGGAGCCATTTAAATAAGATCCTGCTGCTGCTGCCACAGCCATCGCCTGGAAATTCAGTGGCACAGGTAGCAGTATATAAATAGAAAGCAGGCAGATGCAGTCTGTGGGCCGGATTGAAGTGTTAGGCCGGCTGGATGTGGTCCCCAGCCCTGTCCTATGACAATTGTTTAGAACAGGCTTCTCTTTGTCAAGCACAAAGAGCTGATGACTCCTGCACCCCAAAGCTGTGGGGCTTAGTCAAAACCAGACACATGACGAGACCACCTAAAGAGGAGTTCTACTTTTCAGAGCCACTCTAGAAAGAGAATGATGGGGTTCCCTGACACTCAGTGACTCTGCAGAAAAATGTATTCAGTTTACAAGTCAGGAAGTTGTTGCTAGCAGCCCCACTCTGCAAACTCAGCTGTGGCTCTGGCTTGCATACCACTATCAGTAATCCTGAAATATATTATGCATGCAGGTAATGTACAGTTGAGGTATTTGTTGGATTCCTAAGAGGCAACTTTTTATGTCTAAAATCAATTTAAGACAAAAAAAAGGGGGAGCCCCAAGTTGATCCCATCCTCCAGTTACTTTCTACAATGGAACTGTACTTAGGCCCTTACCTGACACAGCACTTAAGAATATGCATGATTGATTACTTGAGAAGCGCCATTCCAGTGCTCAAAGTTACACACATGCTTAAGCTGTTCGCAGGCTCAGGGCCTTATTGCAAAACAAGTTTTTACAGGCCACCCAAAAATTGAAACCAGTCTACGTCAAACACAGAGGTACCATTCACAAAAAAGAGAGTCCTTTTAAATGACTAGTGTTGCAACTTTGGCTAATACAACTCTGTTTAGAGAGCAAGGTTTGCCCTCAGTGCTTATCAGCAAGGACAAACAGCCAAACTACACAGAAAAGGAATAGCTGCTTAGTAGCAGGAAGCTACAGGCAGGCAGGAGGATCTCAGCAGCAACAGATGTTAATTTATAGAATGAGAAAATGAAAAGGTGACACAAACAAGATAAGGTGTGAGAGGCTTTGGGGTTTTGTTTTAAAAAAAAAAATCAAACCAAAAGACCAGGTGATTACCTTATCAGACACATCATGAAAACCAGACTTAACACACAACCTATGGACAGATGAATTTCACCCTTCTGTCCGTAATTCCAGAACCACTTCAACTCTTGTGGTTAGCTTTTTAAAGCATTGGAAGGAGAACATCACAGGAGGGTTTAAGCTAAGCAATAGCACTCCTAGACCCCAATGGAGAATATCAGGATCTGGAGTCTTGTATAAAAACACAACCATGGTAACACTATCTCAGAAGCCACCTGAGTAGTAAGTGGTTTTAAGCCACTAAAAAGACAGAATGGTTTATATTTTAGTGTGGTTCATTAAGCCAGTTAATTACTTCTACTGCAGTAGTTCCAAATGCCACCAATCAGACTCAGGTCTCCTCCGTGCAAGGTGCTGTACAAATACAAAGGAAGATGGAATCTACGCTCCAATGAGCTGGGTTTGACCAAGTCTTTTGCCTGTTCATCAACAAAAGGAAACTTTCTCTGTCAGGTCTCAGGGGCTTCACCACGAGATCCTACAGAATCCAGGCATTTGTTTTCCAGAAAGATGAAGTCTCAAGCCCGTGCATTCAAGAAGTCCACAAAATGTGACTTATATAGTGCTGCCTTCAGGGCTCTGCAGACAGAGCCTGAAATTGCCTAAGGCCCAAATCCTGCTCACAGCCCAACCAGGCATGTGAGGAAAGGTTAATTTCCAGTGCTCTCCCCAGGCCATTCCACAGCCATCACTCTAGCCTCAGGGCTGGACTTGGCTACCAGCCATTCTATCACTTGTGTGGGAAGAACAGAAGCAGCTGATCCACCAGACCAAGTCTTCAAATTCCAGTGGCAGCTCCCATGCAGCTGGGCTCTACAATTGACAGGTGTGCACATCTCCAGCAAAGGCTGCCCAAAAATCCTGCCATTGCCACCCATCAGCCACAAAGGGCTCTGCAAGATGGCCCTCTCCCCATCCCGGAGTGGTTTGCTGGATAAAGGCCTGCTACAGCAAACTAAAGGCACGTTCTGGCCAGTGATCTGAAGGCTTCTCAAAGATTGATTAAACTCAAAACTCCTTCTCCGCTCTTGCATAAAGAAGTCTCCAGCGGCACTCAGCCAGCTGAGGTACTTGGTCATTTCTGGCAAAGGAGGGAAGAAAATGTGGTTCCATGAAATGCAAGTCGGGAAGCTAAAAACAGCAGCAACACAAATAAATGTTTAGTCTGTCTTCCCACTATGACAGCATAGAGCCAGTGGGCATAATATAAAGTCAGGTATGGTCCAGATAGTCTCCCTTGACAGGATGTACCTTGGAGAGGGGAGGAGAGAAAATCATGGCTCCAGGTATTAAGGAGTTATATATTCCTCATGACTGTTTATGCATTGTTACCATTCCATGTGCCCCTTCAAAAAGATAGAACTGTATTTAAACAAACCCTTGGAGAGAGAGACAGTGATCATATTCACCTGAGAATTTAACAGTTAGTTTAAGTTTTGTTTATGGCAACTCAACATTGAGCCTCCAGTTTGACACTTTACTTTAGAACGGGGTGGGGAACCTCAGGAGTGGGTTTACCTGGATACAGCCCCCAAGCCTCAGCCTCCCTCCACCCCAGCATTGGAGAGTCCATGCGAGTGCTCCAGGTCACCCTCCCCCCACGGCCTCACTGTGGGGCTGGAGCCCATCTACTAAACTGGGCCCCCCTCTGGCTCTGGTGTATGAGGAGAATGTGGGGAGTGTCCTTTTCCTTCTCAGTCAGCGACTATGTCAGTGAGGGTTTGTTTTTCTTTTTTTGCTTCTCACTTAGTGTGTGGCCCCAGACTGATTTTTTGGGGGCAGAGGCGCTGACCCACAGAGAAAGGTTCCCCGCTCCGGCTTTAGAAAGTCTGGTGAAACTAATTACCCATGTAACAAACACCTTGATCGTTACAGAAGAGGCAGGGCATGGAACTGGTCTCGGAAGTTTGTCTTGATCGTTCACTTGAGGAACAGTTACAAACTTGAGTCTCCAGGAAATTCTGGCGTTTAAGGGGAATGTCTCAGCTACAATGTAGTAGTACAAGAACCACCATTTCACAATTAACACTTGAAGGATTGGCATCAGATATTTATAGTAAATATTCTTTTGTGGGATGCTGCTTCCCCCTTCTCACAGGCGCAGCCTTTCAGCAGCAAGTTTCAATAGAAGGAAAACTAGTGCCATCTGTTTCCCAGCTGATGAACAGCCAGCAACAGTATCACCATATATCCTTCCTGTATTGAGGAAAAAGTTACTAGAGAAGCCACAAGTATAACAGATTTCTCTGCGACAGCTGTGTCCAAATGCAGTATTATAAATGGAAGGCGTCAGGGCACAGTCACATTTAATCCTTACAATTGCCATTTGAACACTGCACACCAAGCGCACATAGATCACATAAGAGTGCAAAGGCGCGTACCAGCATGGCTATACTTAAAGCAGTGTCTGCTTTTCCATTCTAAGCCATAATTATGTGCCAAGTCATTGCTGAAACCTAATTTCTATAGGAGCGAGGCATGTTTAAGGACTGTATAACTAGGCCCTTATATACTTTCTCTTGTAAAGTTTTGTATCCTAAGATCCCAAATTAGAAACCTTGACTTAGATATTTAGCTAGTCTAGTGCAAATGCTGAGGATCTGGCCTTGAATGTGCAGACTGAAATGTATCCATATCAGACAGACATTCAGCTGCTGTAAACAGCCCCAAAGTTAAAGGAGAGACATCAGTTTTCACCAGCTGAGGATTTGACCTATTATATTTAAATCCATTTATACATCAGATTGGGTCTTTTAAACAGCCAGCCACGTAAGAGTCAGAAGGGGTTGCTACACGGCAAGGAATTCTGGCTGAGGCAAGACCAGATTCCTTCTTGATCGCTGAGGGAACCCACCTGTGCTTCAGAAGCAATGGTGGAAGTAGACTGGTGCAGGTGTGGGAGGGCTCACTGTACCAGCCATAGAGAAGGGAGAGCCTTGTGAGAGTCCCCTCCCCCTTTTTTTGGTTATAAACAAAGACAGAGCTGCATGCACACCACACTCATCTACTTGAATTCTTGCTCAGCAGCAAATCTGACACAATCTGAAAGGATGCAGGGTGCCCTCTCTTCTACAACTGTGCTGGCTGAGTTGGGGCTGAGGTAAAGAGGTGGGGACTGGGCCAATCTCAGACCCCTTTGCAGAAGGCTAGCATCATGAGAAGCACTTTCAGGCAACAGGGGCTCTGTTTTCTAACAGATATGGGGCTAACCCACAAAATAGGGGAAGATAGGAAGAAAAGACTCGAAGATTTATGGATGGCTGGGCACAAAGCTAACCTACACAAAGCTACTTCCTCTTTCATGGACCTGTCAGGACAAGAACTGAGGGATCCGAGTTCCCCCTGCAAAAGGTGATGCTGACACTTCTCTGCAAGAGAACTAAAATGCTCACTCTGTGTAAAATGGAAATAAAATCGGAACTCTAATCTCTCCAAGAGACAGAACTACTAACTTTCAGGGACTGATTGCTGTGTGGTTGAATGCTTTCTAAACAGTGAAAAGAAAATGGGAAAGGGTGGCTATTTTCTTTTGCCTTTCAAAATTCCTCCAGCATTTTTCCTGACCACAGAGGTTGAAGGGGAAAAAAACCCTACAAATTAGAAAGGATGAGTTCAAAGATTTACATCAATTCCTTTTTTACACCCAAACAAAACAAAACAAAAAACACAAGCCTGAAATCTGTGACTATCGCAGACAAATATTCCTTGGCAGGTTCACAAAGAAAGCAGCTTATCTGAAAGGCAGAAGGATGGCATTCCAAACACTCCACACCAGCTCTATTCCTGCCTCCCTGCTCTAGCCCTGAACTCATTCACCCTTTGCACAGTCCAAATTCTTCACTCAAGATAGGAGTAAGAAGGAACCATGCTATCAACCTAACTTCTTCCTCTGCCCCACAACCATCATCTAGATTCTTGCCTGGTATAAAGCAGTGTAGCTGCTCTGAAGTCAGTGGAGTCAGACTGGTTGACAGCAGCTGAGCATCTGGCCTGCAGACTGCTCCTGTCAGCAAAAGTCTTACAACGCGGCTTTGTACTGCACTTAGATAAAGTGGAGAAATATCCAAGAGAGTGTTTTGTAAGACACTAAACTCTGATATTCCATAAGCTCTGGAATGCACACCTGCACAGGAGAACAATGGCTTCTTCCAGAATGGCTTGTGCCACTTAATCAGCTAATCAACTAGTTGATGGAATTTCCATTGATTGGTTTATCAACTTCTCAGGAAGGGAACTGCAGAGCAGCAGTCACATTAGCTCCTGGCCCTGGGAGCTAACCCTGCTGTGGCTCTGCCTTTTAAATGTATTCAGAGCTGCCAGGTGGCTCTGAATACATTTAAGGCATGAGCTGGGAATCAGCTGTTCTGGCTCACGCCTGATCCTCTCTACTGTGCTTGTGCTTTTTAAATGTATTAAGAGCCACCCAGCACCAGCTCCTGCTCCTCCACATGCTGCCTCTCTCTGATAGTTGACCATACAATAAGCATTTGCTCATCGGATAAGCAACTAGTTGCTTACATCCTTACTTCAGGCCTCTCCCTTGGCTGGGATAAACTAATATAATTCCACTGAAATCAATGGCATTATTGCAGTTTCCACCAGTTGAGGATATGCCTTTGAATCTTTGATAAAGAAGCAGTCACTCCCCCCAAAAAGGTGTCTCATCCAAAAGGAGACCTTCACTACACAGTAGGGATGTTAACGACTTACCAGTTGTGGTTAACTGGTGGGGGCTGGAGTCCTCGGCAGGAGGTTGCTCCAGCCCCTCTAGCCTAGCGAGAGCAGCCCCTGACCAGTTGGTCTTGAATGCCCCCCCAAGCCACCTGCCCCATTTAAATGGGTTAACAAATTTCACTTAATGTTAAACCAGTTAAGCAGGATTTTACATCCCCAGTTAAAACTGGACCTCAACCAGTTGTATTTTAATGTGCCTGAAGTGGAAAGGCTCCAAGGAAATTACCAAAAAACATAGTGTCAAATAACAATGGTACTTTGATCTTCATAAAAGGAGAGAATCCAGTGTAAAAAAGTGTTCCAGCGCAAAATGAGAGGACTAGGATCTGAAGTGTGCAACTTTGAAACTCGTGCTGGTGAAAAGAACAAGAAAATGTTTCAGTAAAAACTGTAGCTACATTTTATAATGAAACTTTGCCCTGTTCATCTAATCATGTAATGTTCCATTTACAACAAGACCAAGGAAAAGTTAGAGCTGTTAAAACTAGATCTCCTGGAATGTTTTTTCCCTCCCATACCATATATGCTAACTCCTGTGGGGCTAGTCCTCTGCAACAATGCTGTACTCTTGATACTTATGTCATTGAGCTGGATGAAACCACATAAAGTACTGAATTCAAATGACAAACAATGGCTTTGTAGAGGAATTAGAATGGTTGACATCTCTTTACTGTTCTTGAGCCACCTGAAACATAGACTGTGTCAAAAGTATTATGGGTAAAATTTTCAAAAGTCATTTATTCATCTCCAACTCACTGACTTTCAGTGAGACACAAGCACTAAGTTACATTGTCAAAATGGCCTAAATTTTTAGAGGAAAACCAAGTTGGGGGGAGGGAGGAATGTTCCATCTGCAGCTGTTCCAACTTGAGCCATGATCTTATTACCTTCTACAATCTAACCAGGGTCAGGTCCAGCAAACTCTTGGATGGGAGATCTCCAAAGAAAACTTGAGGTATTGTATGAATGGTGCTAGGGATTCAGTTAGTGACGCTCATCCGAGTCAATGACAAACCAGTGGCTCAGCCTTATGTTTGGGGCCATGTGTTTTCTGAGGTGCAGTCTTGTACATGGCATTTGAAAAAAAATCAGTGTCATGAGCACCAGTGTTCCCTGTAATTTTTTCCACCCCTGAGCAGAATGAATTTTGTTATGTGCAAGATGTGGAGGTGATGTGCGGCACATCACCTTCATATTGGTGCACATAACAAAATTTGTGTGGCAGGAATGAAGCTGGGGGTTCTGAGTACGGGAGGGGGCAGAGGGTTGGGATGAAGGAATGTGAGGGCTTCAGTTGGGGGTGCAGGTTCTAGAGTGGGGCTGAGGTTGGAGGGGCTCAAGGCTGGGACAGACGATTCAAGTGCAAAGACTCTGGCTGGGACTGGAGATAAGGGTTTGTGGTGCAAGAGGAGGCTCTAGGTTTGGGAACGGGCTTTGGGGTGGGGTGCAGGAGGGTGCTCATGGCAGCCAGGTCCTCCAGGTGGGGCAGGAAGTAGAGGCTTGGACTTACCTGGGTAGCTGCCTGCAGGGGCTGCTAGGGAAGGTCATCCCCCCCTAAACCGCATGGGCAGCAGCAGCCTCAGGGCTTGAGGAGAGTGACCTCTCTGTGCTGCAGCCCAGAGCCTTTGCACAGGGCCATGGCAGTTCCCACAGCCATGCAGTTTAGGAGAGGGCCATGGCAGTTCCCACAGCCATGCAGTTTAGGAGGAACTATGATGAGCTCTTGTGAGATTGTTAAAGTTAATGTTAAACATTTACTTACTTAATACACCTATTTACACACACAGGTTAAGAAAAGGGTGTCTGTACATCTGGATATAGTGCTTAGATTATCCCCAAAGTTTGTTTTAAAAGTCAGCATGGCTATTTTAGTAAGAACAGTACACTTGACAGGGGACTACAGCTCAGTGAAGTTTTTTATTATGTTGAAGTGCAACATGTTTTATGTACGACACAAACAGATCCTTTTTAACTGGACTAATCCAACTCATTTTTCCTGTTGGGACTTTGAACTGAGACTATACACCAACATATTGTCTGGTAATCTACTAAGCAAGAGCCAGTCTTCAGAGTTATGCAATGGAGTTCCAACCCTCCCTGCTGGTTATCCCCTCAATTTTCAAACCACCTCTCCCAACCACACGTTTTGTTTTTTCTGGCACCTGCTTTTGAGCACTGAAAAGCCTCACTACCAACTGTTGCTTCAGACTTGAAGGAAACTGGCAATATTCATAACTGTTAATCTCACACGGTGCAACAATGTGTTAAGTCACAGAGTGCTGATAAAAATGAATGATTACAGAGCACATGGGAACCCCTGCCCCCATCTGCTCACTAACAGTTAGGTGACAGAGGGAGAATGCTCAGCATTAGCATGCACCATAGAGGCCCCAGACTGTCACTGTTTTAAAGGCGGATTTGTGGTCCATTACCTATGGTGGTAATGTGGTCCTTTAATTCCTACGAATTTTAGTTACATTTTCACAAACTTGTCTAGCAAATAACTGACTTGTGTCCAACCCCACAAATGTTAGGCTCCAGCTCTCAAGTGAAAGTCATCTTCAACTAACGGGGGGGGAGGAAGGGGGGGAGGGGGTTCAGAAGAGAGACAGAGGCCAGAGCACAAGTCCTTCAAGCTTTCAGTGGCACCTGGCGGGGAGGTGGGTGTCTAATATCTTTAGGTGCTTTGGAAAATTCCACCATGATCAAGCCTTAGATGATATCACTGGCAGTTTTGCCATTGGCTTTAATGAGAAGACGATTGGGCCCTATCTACATGCCTAGGACGTGATGCAGTGCTCACTGGGGAGGGGGAGGGAGATGCCATTTACTCCAAAGGGCTTTGCACCAGGCCCCAAAATCCTGTCAACATTAGTGACATCAGAAGCCTTATGCACCCATTTTATTCTAGATCTCATTAAATCTGTTCCACTTATTTAAAGACAACTCATAAGAACTTCCTCAATAAGCAATGTTCCCTCTAATCTTCTTCATCCATGTGCTAGGCACAAGCCACAATATAGCCTCACATGCTCCACATATAGCCTCTCACCTTTCAGAAGGAATATGGTAAGCAGCTGCACTGCCACTGCTTGGGCTGTGCTTGGTGTGTGGATAAACAAGCTTCAAGAGAGTCATCCTATCACTGTTCCCTTAAAGAAAAAAAAATACACTTCTGACAGTAGTTTTTAGTATAATGTTTAGCCCCTGCTGAGGATGTTAAGCACTTGGGCAATTTTGAAAGTCCAGCCTCAGAATATTTAATGGTTCTTCCCTCCCCCACTCACCTTAGGTCCCTGGTTATTTACTGTAAATGCACCTCCCAAGCTATTTGAAAGTCACTTGCCCATTGTCAATGGCAAGGGGAAGTTTTTCCTGTCAGGGTTGCAGGGCTTCACCCATTAGATTCTACAGAATCCAAGCATTCACGTTCAAAAAAGATGAAGTTTCAAGCCCTTACAATCAAGGAGGCAACTAACTAACTAACTAATCAGGCATACAAGTCTGAGATCAGCCCACTCATCTTGTATATGTAAACTCACTTATGAAAGCGATAAAGCACACACAACTATCTTCCAACACTTCACATGTTGGCTGGCTTAAAATCCTTAAAGCGATTAGATACTGTTATGGACCAACTGCTTGCCAAAGTATGCTAAGTAAGTGAAACTACAGAGTTTTCTTCATTTGCATTCATCATAACAAATGTCATG